ACGGCTTTCATGTCTATTGGTTTATAAAAACAGCGGGGGATCAGCTGTTGAACTGCTGTTGTCTTTTGCCGGGCTCCGGTGATTGGCAAATCTGGGTGATGCCTTCTGATATGTTTGGCGTGTGTTACCATTAGCATACCGCAACGCTGTCTAACAACGCCGACACACCGTCCTCGTCCGATCCACCACTCGCACTCCATCGTTATTGTAGTCCACAGGGAACCCGAAATGTTCCCACACAGCTGATTTAAAAGAAGCAGGTGGGTTCTAGCTCCTGTGTGTTATCTGAAATCGCCATACTAACTTTTCTTCTTCTTGTATTTTGTTCGTTTTGTTGTTGTGTTTCTTCTTGTTCTTCATTTGTTGTTTAAGGGCGGCTGGCAAACAGCTTTTAGGCGCAATACCGCCCCCTGGATTATATATAGTGTAGTGGATACTGCCCTGAATGACACTTTTTTCCCACTCATAAAAAAAAGGCGTATTCGTCGTGTGACTGCGTGTGCCGAACCGTGACGTCCGAACCGTGACGGTACGGGACGAATACGGATACTGTTACACCCCTAATAGGAACACATCATTAATACTGTATCATTTTGCAAATCTATTTGATTTGCACCACCACTTTGTAAAATCAAGCAGCAGTTCTCTTTAACTGTCAAGTGAAGCCAATGTGAAAGTGCCATACCCTCTAATAGCCAGCAAGTCGCGACTCCATTTGTTGCAAAAAAGCTCTCTACGGCTCCCAGTCTAGCCCCTGCTGACTGGGCCACTGCCGGACAATGTCATCCCATGTGTTTTTAACCAACAACTTGGACCCTTTCACAGTAAGTTTTCAAACAAATACTGTACAGCCTTTGAATAATCAGTACATTTTTTGGGTACAGTTAAGGAAGTGGCGTAGTTACGTGAAAGTAAATGCTTGAGTGAAGCGTAATTACTTAAACGGAAGTTATATGACAAATAAATACATATATTTGCAGACAGGACATGAAAAGCAGTTTTCCTCTTTAAAGTCTTTAAGGCCCATCCACTCCAACCCCTCTACTACATGGACTTTGTTGCTCATTATTCTTCATGGTTCTCAATTACTTGAATTGCATTTGAAGTAAATGTGTCGGCTAGACATACAGTATACAGTGCATTACTTTACCTAGTTATAGATATGTGTGAAAAATGCGCTTACACATTTGACATTTCAGTACGAAATTATGAGAGGCCGTCTAGCTCACAACTCATACTTGGTCTTATAATATCAGAATCTCACACATACACCATTACACTCTTTTATACATATTGCTAAACACTTTTAGAAGCACAATCATACTCTCTTTCACACACTTTTGTCTGGGCCATAAATCAAACTTACTTACATGCCAAACTGTACTTTCTTAGAAACACTATTATTCCCACTTACAGACAACATCATACTACAATATAATACTCTGGTATTGCATGCAAGATAGAACACTTTGTGTGTGAGAAAGAATGATAGTGTATGTGAGAGAGGCATTGTAGTATGTATGAGGGTATAGTAGTGTGTGTGAGAGAGAATGATAGTGTATGTGAGAGAGGAATTGTAGTATGAGGGTATAGTAGTGTGTGTGAGAAGAATGATAGTGTACAGTATGTGAGAGAGGAATTGTAGTATGTATTAGGGGTTTCACAACTACCAATATTTACTAGTCGACACGTTTTTCAAAATAGCAGTCGACTAGTCGTTACGTCATAATAAAGACACACAAAGAGAGGTGTACAACTGTATTTTATATTGGAACTCATACAGTTACATTAAACACTGCATTTTAATTTGTGTTACATGGCTGAGTAAATAACAAACAGTAACTGGACTCACCAAAATCAACAGAAATAACTCTGTTTACTGAAATGCCACGTAAATCCAGTGCGCAACAGCGCATTGCGCAACACTTGCTACACTACTCGCTGTCCTCCACGATAACGTCCACCTTTCCAGATTTTTGGTTTGCGTTGAGGAACACCAACGCATCGACATGTGAGGGAAGGAGGCTTGACCGCTTTCGGGTGACAGTGTTGCCTGCCAGGGAAAAAAACTCTCTCACTCGGGGTGCCTGTGGCTGGAATAGCCAGGTAGCTCCTCGAAAGCTTGGCTAAACGGGGGACACGGTGCACGTTTTCTGCCCACCACTCCGGTGGGTTATCCATTGTGGGGATATGCGGTGTCCGCTGGCAGTAAACCCTAGCTCATCATCCGCATCACTGTAGACCCGGTTTTTTGCTGCTCGTCTGCCTCTGTCCTGTGCTGACGCCGGTGTTCCGGATTAACTGGTTCCCCGATCAACTGGTTGACAGATGTGGAGGCGTGGCCTTCGACTGAAATACACATTTCGATCGCTTCTTCTGTCGTTTTCATAAATCTTTTGGTATATTTGGCTGGATAGGAACACTTTGATGCACATTCAGTACCAGTGTGTGAGGTTTTGGTTACGATGGCGATATCCGGACGCGAATAGCGAGGACTACAAAAAGAAAAACGAGTTGACATGGGGAGTCTGTTCAAAACATTGCGAGCTCCAATAAATCATTTAAACCAGCTATTGTTGCCAGACTAATTACTGAATATCGTTCTTAATGTGATACCAAGTCCATCTGAGACCTGTGTACACCTTCAGACAGCCTCCCAGTGAAGCGTACGTTGTTTACTCACAGTTTGAAAGCAGCGTGGAGAAGTCTTCAGCTGTGTTAAGTTGTGATCCGCTCGAATACATCCTTAAAACCAGCTATTGTTGCCCGACCTATCACTGAATATCGTTCCTAATGTGATACCAAGTCCATCTGAGACATGTGTACACCTTCAGACAGCCTCCCAGTGAAGCGTACGTTGTTTACTCAGAGTTTGAAAGCAGCGTGGAGAAGTCTTCAGCTGTGATAAACTGTGATCCTCTCAGGTAAACTGTGATTCGCTCAGGGTCAACTGGGATCCACCCATGGGAAAATGGGATCCGCCCAGGTTAAACTGTGTTACGACTTCTGTGGCTATCTACCAGCGATCATGTTTAATATGAAAGACACACACATATACATCCCTTATAAAAACGGCATTCTGCAGCACTCATCCAGATAACATGTGACTGTTAACTCGTTTTGCAAAGATAGCAGCAAAAATGTCATTGCTGCATGTGCAGGGATATTAGACTTTAAAATGCTGATGGGTCATTAATTAATCAGCATTTTTAAGGCTAATATCCCTGCACATGCAGCGCCTACAGCACCGACTAGTGGTAAAGGTAGTCGACTAGTCGATTAGTTGGTGAAACCCCTAGTATGTATGAGGGTATAGTAGTGTGTGTGAGAGAGAATGATAGTGTATGTCAGAGAGGAATTGTAGTATGTATGAGGGTATAGTAGTGTGTGTGAGAAAGAATGATAGTGTACAGTATGTGAGAGAGGAATTGTAGTATGTATGAGGGTATAGTAGTGTGTGTGTGTGTGAGAAAATGATAGTGTATGTGAGAGAGTAATTGTAGTATGAGAGTTTAGTGTGTGTTTGTGTGTGTGTGTGTGTGTGTGTGTGTGTGTGTGTGTGTGTGTGTGTGTGTGTGTGGTGTGTTGTGTTGTGTGTTGTGTGTGGTGTGTGTGTGTGTGTGTGTGTGTGAGAGAGAGAGAGAGAATGATAGTGTATGTGACAGACTATGCTTGTGTTTTTGAGGGCTTATGACAGTTTATGTGAGAGGACATTGTACTGGTTGTGAGAGAGTATACTTTAAAAGGAAGTCAGGTTGATCTAACAGGAAGCCAGTTTAAATATTAATTCCTTGACTGATTTACTGCCTTGAAAACAAAGCCTGAAGCTGCTCAGAACACTGCTAGCTAAATTTAAGCTGCAATAAGAACTTTTGGTAACACTTTATATTAAAGGTACACAGATTGACCATCAACTAGTTGTTAATTAACATGCATATTAGTAGTATATTGGTATTTTATTAGCCATTATAAAACACTTATTAATGCCTTATTCTACATGACCAGATTCTACAAGTAATAGGCCATTAGTTGAGAGTTTTTCCTGAACAACCCTCTAATTGGTGCTTATTTATTGCAAGTAAGGAAGTTGTTGTACATGAGTTTTGATCTTAATGTGCTCTGCTCAATGTGGGCCCAATAAGACAGTAGTACCACAAGAATAGTAATTCTCCCATAATAACACTTAAGAAATATGATATATCCCAGTAGCGAACCGTCAGGGCCTTCAAGGTATTCAGAGAATACCCTGGCACACTCAGATGTGTAAAACAAACACAAAATGGATTTAATTATATAAATAAAATGTAATAAAATGTATATAAAATGAATAAATGAGAATCGTATCTGTGTTGTTGATCTGTAATATTACAGTGTTACGTTGATTTGTTTGTCCTTCTCGGTCCATGCACTATGCATTTAATTGGTTTTCCATCCATCCTCTCCCACTTATCCATGGTCGGGTCATGGAGGGTAGCAGTTCCAGCAGAGAGCCCTCAAACTTTATTTCTTTCTCCCTGGCCACATCAACCAGCTCTGACTGGGGGATCCCATGGCGCTCCCAGGCCAGCGAAGATATATAATCCCTCCACCTGGTCCTAGGTCTACCCCTCGGTCTCTTCCCAGCTGGATGTGCCTGGAACAGCTCCCTAGGGAGGCGCCCAGGTGGCATCCTTACTAGGTGCCCGAACCACCTCAACTGGCTCCTTTCGACGTGAAGGAGGAGTGGTTCAACTCCGAGTCCCTCCCGGATGACTGAACTTCTCAACTTATCCCTAAGGGAGACGACAGCCACCCGGCTGAGAAAACCCATCTCGGCCGCTTGTATCCGCAATCTCGTTATTTTGGTCATGACCCATCCTTCATGACCATAGGTGAGGGTTGTAGTGAAATATTTGTATGTATTCATGTTAGCAAACTATGAATAAGCTTAAAATGGGAAATAATTTGTGTAAAACTGTGAGCTGGATTTGGGGCCTGTTGACATATGTTTTTGAGGACAAAGGAAGGTGAGAGCATGTATTGATTTGCATTCAACTTAGATCTAGAGATAATGGAACTGAGCTACAGTGATTGGGGAAACCTAAGATCTGAGGTGTTTGTGATATAATCAAGGAAGTCCAAAAGGGCGGATCAGATAACTAAGATCTGAGGTATTTGTGATCCAATCAAGGAGGTCCAAAAGGGCGGATCAGATAACTACTCCCATTGTTAGAAAGTATAAACACAGAGACACACGCTGTGTTCAGTCTCTTTTTCCTCTGGCTGGCACACGTGCAGGTAAATTCGGGATCCCAAAGGTAATTTGTATTACATTTGTACTGTATTGATTGTATTGCATTGTCATATTACCATTAAAGTAGATTATTGTTTAACGGTTACTTGGTAGCTCTGGATTCCTTCCTGTATTATAACCAGCTTGATAGGGACGCGCGGAGATTTGAAAAGCGGACCAGTTATCCCTTTAAATCTCTAACAAGTGGTGACCTCGACGTGCCAGATATAACGAAGCTGAAGAAGAATCCAGACGACCGGAATGGGTCGGGAACAAACGCTTTCAAACATCTCAGACAATCGGCAGGGCCCTGCACAACTCTACAAATAAAGGTACGCAGACGCCTGTTATGAAAATCGACTGTCTGTAATTGGATACGCTAAAACTTTAGGATTGTCTGTAGGCGTTTCACAGTGTTTTTAAAGTTTAAATGGAATATACAATGCATATTTTACTATGTTAGGAAAGTTATATACAAAACGTAAACGTTTATCGCCAGGTAGACGGAAAGTCCTGCATAACGTAAATAGAGCAGTTTGGCGCGGATCTACAGGTAGTTTATTCCTGAGTGGCGTGGAGACGGTGCAGTTTGTTGTTGCGAGGTTCGATTCCTGCACGACAAAACCTGGAAACTCGATCTTTTAGATCGGGTCGCCGTTTAAAACTGGGGTTAAATAACAGACCAAGCAGTTTGGCGCGGATCTACAGGTAGTTTATTCCTGAGTGGCGTGGAGACGGTGCAGTTTGTTGGTTGCGAGGTTCGATTCCTGCACGACAAAACCTGGAAACTCGATATTTTAGATCGGGTCGCCGTTTTAAAACTGGGGTTAAATAACAGACCAAGCAGTTTGGCGCGGATCTACAGGTAGTTTATTCCTGAGTGGCGTGGAGACGGTGCAGTTTGTTGGTTGCGAGGTTCGATTCCTGCACGACAAAACCTGGAAACTCGATATTTTAGATCGGGTCGCCGTTTAAAACTGGGGTTAAATAACAGACCAAGGCTGAAAGCTAAAAGCCAGAGGTCTGTTATATGTTAAATCGAGGGAGAGCGTTTCCCTTTGTCTGTAAACTTAATTTGAAAAGCTAACGTGTGAAATAAACATCACATTATAAAAGCTGGACAAACTGTACGGCGAATACATCTGTGTGATTTTTACCTGAAATACCTGTGTGAGCAATTGTCTGCGGGGCTCAAAAAGGCACTCAGAAGAGTGAAGCTCATTTGTGGTCTGCTGCTGCCATTTAGTGGCTGAAAGGGGGTATCACACCCTTGACATTTTTATATGGTTTAGCTTCGAGCTTAGACTTTAATCATTACATTGCTGGCCGGTATTGAAGACGGGAAGCACGTTAATAGTAACAACGACAATAGCCCAGTATATTAATACAAGTGAACACATATTAATTAAGTCAGATAAATAAAAGCAAAGTTAAAAAAGGAACATGTTGGCACCTTCTTACACATTGTGTAGCCGTACCGCCACCTTTCCAGAAACGGCACGGCAGTTAGAACTGATTTTGGAAAACTGGTACAAAACAACAAGGAATTGAACATTTTTTACAACGACAGCACCAGGAGATGAGTAAACTCAAGAATCTGTAGTGTAAATACATTGTGAAAAACACATTTTACACTCGAACTGTTTGCACATCATAGACAAGGAATTTAGACAATATAAATAAATGTTCAGCAAAAGTAATAAGTATGGTGGAAAGTAGACATAGGCCTACACTTGATTCAAATTTCATTACTGTGATCCGATTGGTGTGCTCTGCAGGTTTACTATGGTTCGAAGTAACAGTGGGATTTAAAATGAGAGAAAATATGGAGATGTTTTTTCGTAGTGTGTGGAATATGTGATGCTGGAAACATGTAAGTATTTCAGAGTTGTGTTGGGTAAATATGTAGCAATGGATGAAACAATTTTAGAGTGAGTTTTTGTAATATCATTAGTATACATTAATTATGTTGTTTAGATGGCATTTAACAACTAAGACAGATAGTATGATTAGAAAGAGACAGAGTGGAAAGGGTTGGATTTATTTAACATCAGTGTGCTAGACTTATAGGTAATGCGTCCCGGGACCTTGACTCCCCCTCTGAGTTAGAAAGGCTACGATCCCGACCCTCCAAACAGACAAAAGACCTAACCCAACAGGAGACTCCTCCTTCTCCATCGAACAGACAGAGAACCAGAGCTGCAACAACAACAAGACTACATCCAGAACTGCAGCCAGAACTATCTCCACCTGTGGCATCCAGAACCAAACGGCATGCTGACATACAGAGAGATACTCTCATCAGCCCCTCAGACAGGGCATGAAGTTCCAAGCTGAGCCACGAGATTTGGCACCAGAGCAGAGTGTGGGACATGAGAGCAGAATCCGCCCTCCATTAAAAACAGCAGAGAGACTGTAAAGGAGGAGATGAAATGCAAAGCAGTGCAACAACAGGGGCATGATGGGGGCCGCAGAAGTGACTGGGCCAAGGGCTGCCTCAAAGGGTTACAGCGGATGGATTCAACAGCTGATGGACTGAAGAGAAGACAGAATCAGAGGAGTTGGCATGGTCGATTAGAAGTGAGGAGGCCGGGGTCACGGCTTGAGAAAACCAGGGGAGGAGAAAAGGAGAACGGGAATGTGTGAGTTTAGACATAAACACACTTATTCACAAAACGCACATTTAAATAACTTGAATTAACTTCATAAATACGTAAAGACAGAAAGATGTATTAACCATGAATTAATCAATTGGTAAATTAAAAATAGCAGTAAAGAGGAAACTATTAAAGTAAAATGAGAATCATCCTAAAACACACTGAGGGATAAAGGGGAAGACATGAACCATATTCTTCAATCTTTTCATCATGTTAACAAATCATTCTTTAAGAGATTTTTATTCACGTGTGAATAAAGTAGTGATCCATTAAAAGGATAAGACAAATCTTTATTTGTATGAATAATGTTAAAGGGAGAGCTGGTGCCAAGCCACATATACAATTCCAATCTAAAGTGTTGATTTCACCATTGTAGCATAGTTATTACCATAGGAGGGCTTTAAGATGGAAATATAAAATTGCTTCTGTTTTAAATCCTTGATAAAGGAGGGGGTAATTGTTGCATGTTCGGACACCCAAGGTTCCACACACTGCTAAAGAGTTTGACATTGTTTTTTTAAGTAGACCAGAATTAAAGATTTCAGTTTTACTCCTTTTACTGTTGATGTTGTTCGTGAAGTCTTAACCAAGCTAGATCCTAAAAAGCCGGCTGGTCCGGACAACGTAGAACCTTTCTTTTTAAAGATAGCTGCAGATTTTATTGCTCCACCTCTTACTACTCTTTTCAACCTCTCCCTCAGCACGAACAAAATCCCAAAAGTATGGAAGTCAGCTTATGTCCTGCCACTACTAAAAGGAGGGGAGGCCACCTTATTAAACAATTATAGACCCATCTCTAAGTTGTCAGTTCTGGCCAAGGTTCTTGAACGCTTAGTGAGTGAACAGGTAAAGGAGTTTTTATGTAACAATGACATCCTGTCTAAACATCAGTCAGGCTTCAGAAAGCAACATAGCACCATCACTGCCACAATGAAAGTGGTAAATTATATTACGAGTATTTTAGATAATAAGCAGAGTTGTGCAGCTCTATTTGTTGACCTATCCAAAGCTTTTGATACTGTCGATCATTGCATTTTGAAGCAAAGGCTGGTCAGTATAGGCATGTCCAGCCATGCAGTAGGGTGGTTTGTAAACTACCTCTCTGAAAGATCCCAATGTGTTCAGTTTGATGGGCTGTCTTCTGAGTGGTTAAACATCACTAATGGTGTACCACAAGGTTCAGTTTTAGGTCCGCTATTATTCTCTATCTATATTAATAGTTTAGGTGAAAATGTCGAAGGAGCAACCTTACATTTTTATGCGGACGATACCGTTATGTACTGTGCAGGTCCCTCGATTAACGAGGTTGTTGTTAAATTACAGGCTGTTTTTAACATTATTCAGGCTCAGCTCTCTGAGCTTAAGCTTCTTTTAAATGTGGATAAAACCAAGGTAATGCTCTTTTCTAAAGCTAAAGCTAAAAATACACTAGAGACTGCTTTGGATATTGTAACTACGCAAGAAATACAACTTGAAGTGGTTACCTGTTACAAATACTTGGGTATCTGGCTTGATGACTGTCTCACTTTTAAACTTCATGTCAATAACCTGCTTAAAAAGCTGAGGGTTAGGCTAGGTTTCTTTTACAGAAATAAGTCCTGTTTCTCGCTTGAGGCCAGGAAAAGGCTAGTCACTGTGACCTTTTTACCTGTGCTGGATTATGGTGATTTGTTATATATGAATGCACCTGCCAATTACCTGAGCAAGTTAGATGCTGCGTATCACAGTGCACTGAGATTTTTGACAAATTGTAAAGCACTTACGCATCACTGTACCCTGTATACCAAGGCGGTTATGCCATCACTTACTGTATGGAGGCTCAGTCACTGGTACTTTTTCATTTACAAAGCCATATTGGATAAACTACCATCTTATATCTGCTCCCTGATCTCTCTGCGAATTGAAAGTACTTATTGCCTGAGATCGCATGCTGTGGTTTTATTAAATGTGCCAAGTGCTAGGACTGTCTTAGGGAAGAAAGCTTTAGATGTGCAGCTCCACTAACATGGAACAGTCTGCAAAAAGAATGGGAAAATTACCCAAGCTAGTACCACTACATGTTTTTAAAGCTCGGTTGGATGCTACAAAATCAGATGCTGTTGGTACCTGTACTTGTGGTTAAATATGTAAATTGTAATCCCTGTACATTTTGCTGTATGATGTCCTTTTGTTGTTCTGTTGTTTATGTCTTCTTGTGGAACCTACTGCTGCAGGTCTCCCTTGAAAAAGAGATCATTGATCTCAATGGGATTTTACCTGGATAAATAAAGGTTTTGAATTTAATTTAATTGAAAGATAAATGAGTATAATGAGCTATGAAATGCAGAGCGACACAGATCCTAGTAATGTTTTGACTCAAGATAATAGTTATGGACACAAGTTTCTGAAATAGATCATTAGACATTTTAATACTAATTAGGTGTAAATGAATTGCAGTAGTAGTAGTACTCTAAGAAAGTGAGTTTTGTACCAAGTTTCAGGAAAAGTGGGAGGCAGAAGTCCCAATGAAAAGTTAGAACCATCTTGAAAATCATAGTTGGAATCGTGAATGAATAAGGAATGGCGCTATATACCTCTGAAAAGACTCTGCAGATCATGACATGGCCAAAAGACAGAGACCAAATGACCGTTGACCCTGACTGACAGTGTGACAAAAGCACTGTCCATGACTGACTCTGGGGTGTACCTGACCAAAACCTGACATGACAAACCAGGACAGTTGTGAGTGTGAATGAATGCCGGCATGTGATCAGTGTAACTTGCATGATTCTAAAACAATAACTAACCAAGCATGTTTTTGGACTAACATATTATTTTGGAGCTCCAAGGGAAACGAGAGGTTTCCTAAAAATTCCACAAAAAGGGGAAACCGCACATGTGACCCTGTTCTAATCTACTTGATGATATTTTACTCTCACATGAGTTGGCGTTTGCAAATGTAAAACTAAAATCTGAAGATTCTGTTTCTTTTAGGCCTGAAGGACGGAGAGGAACACTTCTTTTCACTGAAGTGTTTACTGTGGAAATAATGATAATGATGTCAAAATTGTAAATAATGTTCGTTATGTCCCTAACCAATTACCAGACAGTTTTTGTTCCCCTCCCCATTACGGGGTTTTTGTTACACATGAGTTCATGTGTAAAAAGGGGGGAGTGTGTATAATGTATAAATGTCAACATGGCTGTAATATTCACAATTTAAATTGTTCTTTTAAGGATTGACAGAAACCTTCCGGCCCAACCCAGATGTTCAAACTGAGCATTGAATGTAAATTAAACCTGCTCCATATCTGGGGATAAGATACTGTTTGATGAATGTTGAGATGTTTCTAAATATTGATTTGAATTATAACAGGTAACACAGAAGCAGTGGCCAAGGGGCTACTGTGAGAGATGTAATTCCAGAATAGAATACCGAAGAAGTTGACCTGTGATGATGAAACAATTTGTAATATTTTAACAGACATTAGAGTAACTGAGGTTTGAAATGTAGAAAGAACATATTACAGTTAAAGCTAAAAACATAGTAGTGTATTGAGACAGAGATTTAATTTAGACAACATCATGTAACTAGCCTGGTAAAGAAGTAAAAGCCATAGAACTTTATTGTTTAGGTCATTATGGGGATATACATTTCATCTAATTTATAATAGAAAGACATTTGATGACAGTTTGTTGGAATTCTGTATTCATTTTTTTAGCGTGATAATATCTAAGCACTGACAGGTAAAAGCAGTATCACCAGGAAATCATTCACTTTG